TATATATATATATATATATATATTCACTTATAGTTGACATACAATATTATACAACATCAGCTTCAGGTGACAAGTGTTAATTTTATCTAATCGTTTGACTCCCTGTCCATCATTTATGTCTTTACCCTTTTATCTTAATTATTCTATTCATTTTACTGATTTCTGCATTGTTTAAGTATACTTTTAAAACTAATCAAAGCTACTTGGGCCTATAAATTTCAGTTTACTCACCATAATATTTTCTATAGGAGTTAACTTCTCAAAGTTTAGGTACCAGGGACATTTGTACTTTGGATTTCTTTCATATAGGGAAACTAGAGCCAAGATCAAAGATCAACCCCACATGCAAATTTCTGAAATGTTATTAATACTATAGTAGCAGAAAAATTCAAAAGTAATAATTTTTGGTCCTCCATTTTAGAAGTTTGGGAAGTTGCTGAACTGATCAAGAAGCAACAGGGAACACTTTTGAGGAAGGTCACATCCACTTCCAAGGAAACTCTGATTAAGGAAAATGTCATTGAATGTAAAAAAGTCACAAAAATATTTCCTCTGAGCTCGGACATTGTTACTTCAAGACAAAGCTTCTGTGAATGTGACTCCCTTGATAAGGGTTTGGAATATAATTTAGAATTACTTAGTTATGAGAAAGGCTGTGTAAGAGAGAAAAATTGTGAATGTAATAAGTATGAGAAACCATTTTACCATTGCTCATCCAATGTTGTAACCTCCTTTAAGTGTAGTCAGTGTGGACAAGACTTCAGTCATAAACTTGACCTCATCAGACATGAGCAAATACATGCTGGAGAGAAACCCTATAAATGTAAGGAATGTGGGAAAGCCTTCAGCAGGAAGGAAAATCTTATTACACATCAAAAAATTCATACTGGGGAAAAACCATATAAGTGTAATGAATGTGGAAAAGCTTTCATTCAGATGTCAAACCTTATTAGACACCAGAGAATTCATACAGGGGAGAAACCTTATGCATGTAAGGATTGTTGGAAAGCCTTTAGTCAGAAATCAAATCTCATTGAACATGGGAGAATTCATACTGGAGAAAAACCCTATGAATGTAAGGAATGTGGAAAATCCTTCAGCCAGAAACAAAATCTTATTGAGCATGAGAAAATTCATACTGGGGAGAAACCTTATGCATGTAATGAATGTGGTAGAGCTTTTTCTCGAATGTCATCAGTTACTTTACACATGAGAAGTCACACAGGGGAAAAGCCCTATAAATGTAATAAATGTGGAAAAGCCTTCTCTCAATGCTCAGTATTTATTATACATATGAGAAGTCATACAGGAGAGAAACCCTATGTATGTAGTGAATGTGGGAAAGAATTCTCTCAAAGTTCTTCCCTTACTGTACATATGAGAAACCATACAGCTGAGAAACCATATGAATGTAATGAATGTGGAAAAGCCTTTAGCCGGAAAGAAAATCTCATTACACATCAGAAAATTCATACTGGAGAGAAACCATATGAATGTAATGAATGTGGGAAAGCTTTTATTCAGATGTCTAACCTCATTCGACACCAGAGAATCCATACTGGTGAGAAACCGTATGTATGTACAGTATGTGGGAAAGCTTTTAGTCAGAAATCGAATCTCACTGAACATGAGAAAATCCATACTGGAGAGAAACCCTATCATTGTAATCAATGTGGAAAAGCTTTCAGTCAGAGACAAAATCTTCTTGAGCATGAAAAGATTCATACTGGAGAAAAACCATTTAAATGTAACGAGTGTGATAAAGCCTTCTCTCGAATTTCATCCCTTACTCTTCATGTGAGAAGTCATACAGGGGAGAAACCCTATGAATGTAATAAATGTGGAAAAGCTTTCTCTCAATGCTCATTACTTATTATACATATGAGAAGTCATACTGGTGAGAAACCTTTTGAATGTAACGAATGTGGAAAAGCATTCTCTCAAAGAGCATCCCTTTCTATACATAAGAGAGGTCATACAGGTGAGAAACGCCGAGTGTACTAAATGAGAGAAGACCTCTTAAATTCAACCCATACTTTACTTAACTTTTAAAATGTCTTGGCATAAACAAACAAACAAACAAAAATGAACAAGATCTTTATGGAAAAATTGTAAACCTTTATGGAAAGGCATAAGACTTGAATAAAATAAAAATACCATGTATGTAATTGGAAAAACCCAATATAAAAAATGTCAATTCTCCTAAAATTAATCTATAGACTCAATATAGCTCCAAATACCTAACATGAATTTTCTAGGATCTTTACAAAATTATTCTAAAATCCATGTGAAATAGAAGTCTATGGATTGCTGAGACAATTTTGAAAAACAGAGAGGACACACCTTCTACCATATACTACACATATTATAAAGTTATGCTAATTAAATAGTGTGTGGTATTAGTGCATGAATAGGTAAGAAATAGATTTTACAGAATAGAGTGCCTAGGAATAAACCAATGAATATATGTGAAATTGGTACATATTAGAAATGACATCATGAATCATTTGGGAAATGATGACCTAGTTAAGAAAAATTATTGGAGTATTTGACTCTCCATGTTGGGGGAAATAAAATTACATACAATCTTACAACATATAAAGAAACAGAATACCAAAGGATTTGAATACTGGAATGTGAAAAAGCCAAACTCTGAAATTCTTCGAAGGAAATACAAGATATTGTTTATGACTTTGAGTTAGGGACACAATTTTTAAAAGACAAAAAGAACCCTCTAGTTCTACTTCTGGATATAGTTTTCTAAAGACACTCACAAATATGCATAAGAAATAGATATATAGGTACCTGAATTGAAAACAACCTAAATATCTGTGGAGTAATAATGGATTAATAAAATGTGATATGTTCAAATAATGGAATAGTAAACAGTAGTTAAAAGCAATGGACTAGATCTGTATTTTATAACTTGGGTTGTTATCTAAATGTTAAGTGAAAAAGAAATCAAGATCCAGATGAAACATATTGTATAATGGCATCCATGTAAGTTGGAATGAAATCATTCATAAAGAACAGAACTATGTTTTAATTATTGAAATATGTATGTAGAACTATTTAAAATGAACTAGAAGAGTACATACCAAATTATATGTAGTCTGTAGCAGGAGATTAGAATTGAGGGTATTGATCAAAAGGAGCTTTTAGCTTATAATTTTTATACCTTAAAAAAATTGATAGCATATAAAATAAATCTTAAAAGTTAATGATACACGATAATAATCTGGATGTCTCATCTTAATAGTGTTTTTGAATTTATGGGCTAGGGGAAGCCTATGCCCATAGGAAACATGTTATAATGGATTCTTATGCCGTATCATGTGCTTGTTCTATCAAAAATATTTCCAGAGGGGCAGCCAGTTAGCTCAGTTGGTTAGAGCACAGAGTTCATAACACTGAGGTTGCTGGTTAGATCCCCGCATGGGCCACTGAGCTGTGCCCTCCACAACTAGGTTGAAACAACTACTTGACTTGGAGCTGATGGGTCCTGGAAAAACACACTGTTCCCCAATAAAAAGATTTTAAATTCCAGAAAATTAGTAATTAAAAGTGATAGTCCTATTTACTATACAGTATGAAATTATCATATTTTATCAATCTTATGATGCTTTTTTTACAATTTAATGTTTCTGAAGTTGGGATTCATCTTTTAATCAATTGTGTATTCAATTTAAGTAAATATGTAATTAAAAATTTGATAATCTGATAGCAATGTGACAAATCAATTGTGATTTTGTGTACTGTTTTACAACATCGTAGTCAACTAATGATCTCTACTTTATCAGTGTATTTTGCATTATTTGAAAACAGATTTGTTGGATTCATAGCTAACGAACTAGTAATGTTTTGAGTCATTGTGAAGAGAATAAGATTCTCCTGAGAAATTGACTCATAGATAGTACTTCTCTTGCTCTACAAGTTTCCGTACAACCTGCATGGGCATTAATATCATTGTTAGTTATTTACAATATTTTGAAATGAGAAAACCTTTTATTTTCTTATAGTGGCCATAAGCAATTTTGTAAAATTGCTTCACTCTTAATCTACAGATCATTTTACTCCTTTCATGACCCTTGACTTATACAACCTATCTAGTTTTGGTTGGAAGTGGTGGTGGTCTCAGACCCTGAGCAGAAATAACAGAGTTCCTCTAAAAGGACCTCATTCTCTATAGCAATACAGGAACCAACCCTTACTTAAGGTAATTTTTATTATGCCGTCTCTACAAGATTATTTGATACACAAAAAAATCAGCGCCATTTTTTTTTAGATTTTTTTATTTATTATTATTGGGGAATTGGGGAAGGGGAACATTGTGTTTTTCCAGGACCCATCAGCTCCAAATCAAGTTGTTGTCCTTCAGTCTTAGTTGTGGAAGGTGCTGCTCAGCTCCATGTCCAGTCACTGCTTTCAATCTAGTTGCGGGGGGGGGGTTGTAATCCACCATCCCATGTGGGAGTAGAACTGGCAACCTTGTTGCACACTGAATCATCTGGCCAGCCGTCAGCAGCTTCCAGCTGCTCAGCTCAAGGTGCCATGTTCAATCTTAGTTGCAGGGGGTGCACAGCCCACTATCTTATACAGGTGTTGAACTGGTGACCCTGTTACTCAAAGCTCACGCTGTTAACCAACTGAGCCACTCGGCCGGCCCAGCACCATTTTTAAAAGGAGTAAAGATTGGGGATATTAATCCAATGGGAACGTCAGCATTGACTATTTGAATGTCACCTGTATTTGTTTGAAGCTGATTGCACAGAATTCAGTCTTTCTCTCTCAAACTAAAGTAGTGACATACAAACATGACTATATTACTTTTTACTATTATTAGCTATTTTTGAAGATTGACAGTGACTTATAATTGTAAATAAGAGGGACTGATTTTTATGAAAAGAACAATTTACCAGAACTTAAATATCTAAATGAGTATTGTTATTTCATAGTCTCTTCTTTAATAGGTTTTATGCGAAGCCTAATTATGAGACCACACTTAATTGTGTAGACTTTTTAAAAATAGTTTTCAGGGCCAGCCAAGTGGCTCAGTTGGTTAAGAGTTGGCTTAAGAGCGCGAGCTCTGAGCAACAGGGTCACCAGTTCAATTCCCACATGGGCCAGTGACGATGTGCCTTAGCTGAGCTGTTGCTGAGCTGCCAACAGGTGGCAGGATGGCTCAGCTGGTGTAACAACGAGATTGCCTGTTTGATGGTTGGCTACACCCACCCGCAACTAAGACCGAACTCAGCACCTTGAGCTGCCGCCTGGATGGCTCAGTGGATATGGGCATGCACTCTTAACAGCAAGGCTGCCGGGTTCGATTCCCGCATGGGATGGTGACTATGCCCACCTGCAACTAAGACTGAACTCAGCACCTTGAGCTGAGCTACTGCCCAGATGGCTCAATGGATAGAGCGTGCACTCTTAACAACAAGGCTGCTGGTTCAACCCCCGCATGGGATGGTGGCTATGCCCACCTGCAACTAAGATTGAACCCGGCACCTTGAGCTTAGAGGCCACAAGCTGCCAACGGGAAGCCAGATGGTGACTGGCACCGTCCACAATGAAGATTGAAGAACAATAACTTGGCTGTTCCCCTTCCCTGATTCCCCAACACTGTTCCCCTTCCCCAATTCCTCAATAAAATCTTTTAAAAAAGAACAGTTTTCAAAGTTCATGTGTACCTACACAAAAAAAAAACCTATGTAAATATGTTTAGTTCCAAGATATTTTGTTGGTTTGTTTTGTCTAAACTGCAATTTGTCTCTCTGATTTTCTTCTTCATGTTTCTTTATTTGGCTCATGCTTCATTTGAATCCTTTGCCCCTTTCTTTACGTTGCTTTGTAGTCAACAGAAAAATTTTAAATTTCATTTATGGTCCATAGGGACCACCTTAGGTGCCTCTTTTGTTCTCTCCCATTAATAGTGGCTGTGCTTATTGAATGAGATAAAGTGAGAGTAAACCTGAATCTCAAGTCTAGGAAGGATGTTTTACTGATCATATGTCAGTGGAAAGATGATCTGGTCTCTGTAACTTAAACTTTTTGCCTTTCCTAAGGAGTAGAAATAAGGTATAAGTGATGGAGCTAACCTCTGAAAAATTATTAAGCCATAATAAATCCCTCTTTACTTGGATACATGGGAACTGCTGCCTGGAGAATTTCCATTCTATTTGAAGTTTGCTGATATGAAAGGTGAGGAAGAGAGAGATAAAGAATACCTCCAACATTTTTATGGAGAACAAATGTCTGGTTGGTCAACCATTTGCTAAAAATAAAGCAGACTGGGGAGAAAACATTTGGGGGGAAAGATTGGAGGATGGAATTGAGATCTGCTGTGGACCTCCTTTTAGCTTGTGTTTCTCAGAAGCAGACTAGAGATGAGGATTCCTATGCAAGTGATTTGTTAAGGAAGTTCTCCTAATAAGAAGGGTAAGGGTGTAGAGGAAGCAGGACAAGAAAGAGGGATAAGTCAAGGGTATGATATCAGCCATATCCTGCCATGAGTGATTTCAGCCTGATCTCTAAGGGAACTCTAGAGTGTAACCTATGCCTCAGAGTTGTCAAGATTCCCTCCTCAGGACTGAGGCACTTGTGCTGCCAACTGCTAAGAATCTGGACTACTGTCAACTCACAAGTTCCTCTATAGGAATTTCTCTTGGATGAAGCGAGCTGCATTGTGCAAAGTTACACTGCCTACCCCGGGGGGCATCCTGGCCCCCCTTTGGCTCAATTTAGAACAAGTCTGAAGAGCCATCTCAGTTCTAGAGCTCCCCCAGGGATGACAACTGCATCACAGTTCAACTTTACCTTCCACTCAGTTCGGCTTCCCTCATTTCCTTAGAGATAACATTCCCAACAGCTCTTCCTAATAACCCTCATCATAAACTGCCATGTCACGTTCTGTGTTCCAGGGAATCTGACCTATGACAGTGGGGCATTTTGCAGCAGTTCTCAAACTGAAATTTTAAAAACTTTTTAAAA